TCAGCCTAGCTCACAGCAACCTCAAACTCCTGGGCTCAAGTGATCCTCCTGCCTCAGCCTCCCGAGTAGCTGGGACTACAGGCATGCGCCACCATGCCCAGCTAATTTTTTCTATATATATTTAGTTTGCCAATTAATTTCTATTTTTAGTAGAGATGGGGTCTCGCTCTTGCTCAGGCTGGTCTTGAACTCCTGACCTTGAGTGATCCTCCCTTCTCGGCTTCCCAGAGTGCTAGGATTATAGGTGTGAGCCATTGCGCCCAACCTCATGTGTTCTTAATGTTACTTTGTTATACATCTTGTTTGCTGAGTCTTCAATTTCTTTTAACATTTTTGGTAGAATATTAAGTTTTTATATATATTTTTTCCTAGTAACTTTTAAAAAATGACTTCACCTTTCTAGTAAATATTTCCTCCTAGTAATTTTACATTTCATTACATTTAGACCCCTGATCCATTTGACATTTGTTAATATTGTGAGGTAGGGAGTTAGCTTGGTATTTCTCCCAAATGTGACCGTCTCAACACCATTTTTTTACAACAGTGACTCCTATGGATTAGAAATGGAATCTCTATCATATGTTAAAGTTACATTTACACAGTCAATTGTCTCTGGGCTCCGTCCTGTTCCGATGTATATGTCCACATCTGTTTAAGTATCTGACACTACTAATCAGTATGTTTTTTGTTGTGAAGAGATCCACATGGTTTTCTTCAAAGTTTCTCATCTCTTATATCTTCCAAATGCCATTTCACTTTTGGATTTTGATTGGGATTATAATGAATTTGGTAGAGGAATGGATGGTTTTATAATATTGGGTCTTTCTGAGTTCATGGTATGTCTCCATTTTTATTAAGTCTTTTAGTAAAACTATATAGTTTTCTTCACAAAGGTCTTTCACACTGCATGTTAGGTATAATTCTGTGTTGTTTTATTTTGTTATTGTGAATGAGAATATTTAAAACATACATTTAAAAACTGGTTTACGTGTGGATAGATGGTATTGTTTTTTGTATATTCTAGCCATCTGATGGATGCCTTTTTAATTCATTCCGTATAGGCAGGGTCCAATTGATTCATTTGGGTTTCCCCTAGAATTGCCCAAATTGGGCTGAAAATGTTTTCTTTCTTCTATTCTATTAATACTGTTAATACTTCTCCTATTAATACTTCTTAGCACTGGTCATGGGCCTTCCTGTTTGTTGACTTTAATCAATACTTTTAATAGTTCACTATTAAGATGTCTCATTGGAATTGCCATCAGATAACCTTAAAATATAAAATAAGATAAAATTAAGTTTAGGGCATTTACTTTTCCAAAAGGTTTTCTTGTGAATGACTGCTAACATTTCTTCTATGTAAATCTATCAAATGGCATCTATTAGTCAATCATGTTTTATTCTTCCTTTATTCTGTTAATATAGTTAACCTCGATACATTTTTCTTATCATTTTTTTTTTTTGGTATCTTATGAAAATACATTCCAGATGTATTTACTAGTATTTCATATAGTTTATGACCTAGGTTTTAGGTATTATATTTGCATTATCTATCAACGATTACTAAACCAATCTTTTAAACCAATTTACTATTCTAATGTGTGATATATAACCTTAATAATGCATTCAGAAGTCCACATTATTCTTATGTTTTTGGTCATTTGGGAATGGGAGGTGGAACAGTGTAGTGAAAAGAGTAGTAATACCATTTAGGATGCAGAGGAACTAGACTTGGCCTATGCAGTTAAATAATCTTAAGACATACCTCCTCCTTGGCTTCAAATTGAAAAATATATAAAATGGGAAGAATAATTACTGGAAGAATTAAATGTTAAAATGCTGTGAATAGTGTCGACTACCATATAAATGTAAGACATTATTGTAAGGTATTTTTAATTTACATGCAATTATGAAAGAAGATACAATATAAACACACTAAAATCTCTAAAGCCATGTAAAACCCGAAGGCATTAAAATTTATTAAATGATGCAATAACAACAGAATTCTTTATTTACAATAGCATTATTTAACATCAAATAAGCAAATAGCATCAGCAAAGCAATATTAACTTGCATAAATGTATTTAAAATTTCTCTGAATATATCTACCTTTGCATAAACTGCTCACACTAGAAATACAAACATCAATGCAGGTGAACAAAGTGATGTTCAGAGTCAACTCCATTTTGAAAATAAATCACAACCTGAAACACTGTAAGCTTTCTCCTGAAGAACCATAGTTAATATATTGCTTAATTTTACCCTTGTATAATCTTTTCATATACACACATCTCAGATGCAACTTCATGAGGAACTGTACAAATAAAACCCACGAATGACAAAGAAAAAAAATGACAGTTAAATGTTTGAAGAAATGTATCATCATCACTATTCAAGAACATAAAGGTTAAGTGATGATGTACTTATTCAAAAATTGTACACAATTCACTATACAAATATAATACATCGGACAGCTATGTAGGAATATACAAGACTTAAAAACAGATCTAAGGCATTATGCTAGATTTTAGCATTTTGAGGTTCTTGCACATAGCTTTTACCTGTAGTAAGAAACTTAAAAGATTTTGTTTTAGTCTATAAAGAAACACCAGGGAGAAAATTCTAATTAAAATCGAAGCCACTACAGTAATTTTCTTTTGTGCAGAGAATACTTTGCTCTTAGGCAGCATACTACCATACAAACACTAGAAAATTTTAAATTCACACCAACAATTAATGGCTTAAGTTGCATTTCAAAATTGATTGTGTATCTTTGGGTTCTGCAAGTGGATATGTGCCACCCATTTCATGTGTTAAGCCCATATGAACTCCATTTTTGAACACAGATTAAAAATTGCATTATATAAACTGCAAAAACATTGCTTTCAATTATTACCGGCCGTAAGAGATACACATGGAGGAGGGGCAGTTTAATCTTTGAGTAGGATGAATTCATTGTAGTGAAACAGCTCACTTCACTTTTTAAACTTACCACATTACATGAACACTTAAATGAGCTTTACAACCAAGTTAATGTATGTATACTTTTCACATTATGTTTTTCACATTTAGTAATATAAGTAAAACACTGATTATTTGTTCTATTAAACAAAAACCAAGTACTCAGTCTAACAAATTTATTGTGTACAGCATAAGAAATACTGATGATGAAGGGAACTGATTTGGCTTTTGCTTCTATAGTGATCAATATGATCAGAGGAGATTCCCTCGCTTACTGTTCTTCTCCTAATTAGATGTGAAACAAAATCCATTACCTGATCCAAACCGTAGAGAATTTATCATCTCTTTTCCTTCAAAACAGTAATGATCATGAACTACTGCAAATTACCAGTATCAAGGTTTGCAGAGATTTGTCTGAATGGGATTGATAGTAAACACAGTGGGCGGATGGAGGGACGACAAGAGACATAAGATAGTTTTGGACAGTGTTATAGTAAAGAGGGACTTAAAACAAAAAGCCAGCTCAAACTCTGTTTCTCTTTTGTGCTGTGTGAAGTTAAAGTCATTCTAATTCACGTATTTCTAAAAATTAATTTAAGACTGGTCACATGACACTGTGTGCCACACAGCCTCGTCCCACGGAGGAGGGTCCTGGAGTTCTGGGCCAACATCTGCTCGTCTCTTCCATCACAGTTGGGCAACCCAATGGTTTGGTGGAGAAAAGTAGAGCCTTTTGAGGGGATATGTGAACTGGTGGCCACTGAGAAGTGCTGTTCCTTGGCCACCTCCCTGTATTGAGATCCCTCTCAAGTGGAAAAAAAGTCTCGAAATGCAAATTTCCAGAAAGTTTCTTTAGTATGGAGCAACACTTTCAGACTGACTTACCATTTATCTTTGGGCTATATCTCTTTCCATATTTCCATAATCTGTACATATAGAGAGAGATATAAATAGGGGTAGTCTGTACATTTTTCACCCTGCCACAAATAAACAAACAATCAAATTTCAAGGAAAAACTTCTCTGTTCCTAAAAAGCCTGGCTAATGAGATATTATAAAATGCTTTGCTTTTTAGACATCAAAAAGATATCATTCTGAAATTTAGGTAAGAAAGGTATGTGTATCAGGGGTTGAGGAGAAATAGCTCAAAAAAGGTCATCAGTTTCTTGGTATTGCAGTTGTTTGAAACTGACACCAATTAATAAAAGATTATTCCCCTACCAGAGTGGACAAGAAAAACAACCATAAAAGTGGCCTGCTTAGTAACATGTAGTCTTTCTAAGGTTAAGAAAGAATATAAACATATAAAAATCAAGAATTGGTTCCTACAGCAGCTGCATATCATATAGATTAGATAAATGATTTATGAGCAGAATCACAAGGTTTAGAAAATAAAAAGTCTTAAGTCTACAAATTAGGTCTAATCAAGGTATTGATATCCTTTACAAAACACCTTTAGGAGACATTGCTATGAAGATATCTAATTTAATACTGAAGTACCTCATTTTTGAGTCAATTCCACAATATGTATACCTCACAAAAATTATACAATTAAAACACTTAAGTTCTCAACTTAAATTATTGCTTGTTTACATATAAATTGGATTTTATGTACCTTACAAAACTTCGGCTTAATTAGCACTGCTAAAAAACAAAATAAAAAACACATGGCAGAGGTTAAATCTGTCGTGATGTCTGCTGTCAATTTAAACACACTAGTATTTTCTCCCCTTTTGGAGGCCAGAGTTGCTGGGGAACAGAATAAACATGCTTCCAAAGCAGGTGTCCTTAGCTTGACTGGTATCAAGTGTTAACTTTGCTCTTCTCCTTGCTAGTAAATGCATTTTTCTGAAATTCAATAGTTAGTAATTGGTAAGTGGCTGGCAAAACATTTAAGGAAATAAAGGGCTTACCTGGTTTCTGTAGCTTATATTATTTTTTTAATGAGAGGAGGAAAGATTGGGGGAAGGCAGAAAGGGGAAGGGAGGAGTCAGGATCACAGCGGGTAGCAGAGATGCTAATTCCAGCTGTCTGATCAATCTAAAAGGAATTTAATTTAGAAATGAAAAATATTTCTTGGCTTACGATTTAGGTGAACTAGTTTGGTTTTAATAAAGGAGAAAAAAGAAAAATACTTGTTAATATTAACAGCCCTCTCACAGGCTCCTTTTCATCTGTTCAATAACTGGAAATGCTTTTCAACATGGTCTTTAGAGCTTTCTACAAAGATACAACTTTGACTTTATTGGTCTTCACTCATTGGGTGTGTCTGTACATACAGCGCTGTCCACGGTGTCTGCCCTGCTTCCAACCCAAATGCAGGTTTTAGTTTAAAATACCTTTAGTTTATTTTTTCTTTTAATTCTTTTTTTTTTTTTCCCCAGATGAAATCTTAGTCTTTTTGTACTAGACTGATTAGCCAGGGAAAACAAAGCAAGAAACCAGTGTCTGGAACCAAACAGGAACAGAACAAGAGCATGGTTCTCCTTAAATACATACATTTAAATACATTCAATCTGACATGGGTATGAAATTTGCCTGTCAACATTTACTTTGCAGGAGAGATCTAAGTTGCACTAAGGTGAATGCAGTGAACAGACTGAGCGACTGTCTGGATGTGAGCTTCAGACTGTCAAGAGAAGAGGCAGCGGCTCCTCCTGCAAACGCCGAGTAGACTCCATTCTGGGAGCCAGGCCCAGGCCTGTCTGCTGATCTGGCTCTGGCAGAACCGGCTGGCAAGTCAGTTGGGTCAAAACAAATAGACACAGCTCTCCAGATTGGGAAGTGTCTTAAGTAAGTGAGCCCGGTCAGCTGAAGAAAGAAGCAACCAGCTACTTTCAGTGTCAGCAGTATTTCTGCAGGAAGACAGATAAAAAGTTGTGAGATACCACAGTTTTTGATGGAACCATCACAAAAACAATCAAAATACTTGTTTTAAATACTGCAAACCACAAATGCCACATTGGGATGAGTACACTTGATTTGGATGTGGACAAGCAGATGGTGCCATTCCTAACTCAACACAATTGTTTCCAAAGGGACCAGAATGATCCCAACAGTCTACATGCTATTTCTTACGGGGTATACTCTGCAAATGGATTATTAACCTCTCCTGAATGACTGCTCTCTTATCAATGACATCCTAGCTCTACTTCATTTCTCCCACTTTCTCAACAGAAATTACAGAGACACCCAGTTGCTGAAACCCCCAACAATTCGCCCAGGTGTTTTCTGGCAGCATTCAATCCAGGAGGAGCCATTACTTCCTAATCCTTCCTCAGATTTATCTAGTAAACACTCACCTCCTATAAAATGTCCCTCTTTCGTTTTTTCTTTTAAAGACTAGTCAAGTCCAGTTGTGAGAAGGGGGAAAGAGTAGAACAAGGAGTTTAATCTGCAACTGACCGTGAACAACCAATTGAGAGAACTCTTGACCTTTGGACCAGTCTAAAAATGTCCCTCTTGATTTTGCCCTATGAGATACTCCAGGGTTCTACAAGTAAGTGTTCTCCCTGGCTTCAGCAAGCTAAATAAACCTGGGTTCTGACACTAGGGATGTTTTTGCTAGTTTCTGGCTCTATGTGCCGATGACTGAGTACCAAAGGCTACAGTGAGCAAGTGTTTCCTTGGCTGGTGTGAGTATATGTTAACGATTTTCTTTGGCTATTGACTATCTTTCCCCCAAAAGTTTTCATTCATTAAGCAAATATTAATTGCACATCTATTATGTGCCAAGTGCTGGGAATAGAACTACAACAAGACATTCTTGATCACTGCTATCACAAAAATTGCTCAATAGGCAAGGCTGACAAATTACAATGTGATCTGAGTTCTGTGGGTGCCGTGGGAATATATAGCAATTCCTTCAGGGATTTAGATATTTAGACACAGAATTCTAACACATTAGGGCCATTAGAAATTATCTAGTTAAAGGAAGATGAGAAAGGAAGCTGGCCCCAAATAATCTATTTTACCGTAGCACCCCAAAAAGAGAGTTCTGAGGAAACTGTTGCCAGAGCATAAGTTCTGTGGTCAAAGGTGGAATTATATTAGCCCCTGGTCAGGTACACAACTCTCTAAGCTTAAAAAATTAGCTTAGGTCAGGCATGGTGGCCCATGCCTGTAATCCTAGCACTCTGGGAGGCTGAGGTGGGAAGACTGATTGAGGTCAGGAGTTTGAGACCAGCCTGAGCAAGAGCAAGACTCCATCTCTACAAAAAAATAGAAAAATTAGCTGGGTGTCGTGATGTGCACATGTAGTCCCAGCTACTTGGGAGGCTGAGGCAGGAGGATCATTTGAGCCCAGGAGTTTGAGATTACAGTGAGCTATGATGACACCACTGCACTCTGTCTCAAAAAAAAAAAAGCTTAGAAGAATACCTGTGAGTATACTTCTCAGAGAAGAACATTTAATGTACTTTATGATATAAAGCTGAATATTTATTCCTAACTTGTGTCACTTGTATGATTTCATATGAAAACACATGCTGATTAAAATATGAAAAAAAATCCCTCAGTTTTCCACTTAGCTTAGAGAAAGAAACTCTACTGAGAAGTATTTATGCCCCATTCAATTTATGGGCTTAAAAACTTTAAGGCAGTATCCCTAACATGGACTAACATCAATGAGCCGCTGCGGGCCAGAATCCTCATTGGGCAAGCGAGAGCGCTGAGCACCGGCACCTCTGGAGTGACCCGCCTGGGTGGGTCTCAGCTGCACTGCTGGAGTGGCCGGGGGTTACTGAACCTTTCTGTATGGACACTTCTCAGGGCTGTTGTGTGGGTTAAATAAAATAATGTACTTAAAGTGTTTAAACAGTTCCTGGGACAACATGAGCGCCCAGTAAATGTCATCCGCTGTCACCGTCATCATCATCATGAACCAAAAGCCAATCCTAGTGAGTGATCAATTTTCCTAACACTAGTAAATACAAGTGATTACAATTATACTTTTTACTGGATGCAAGAGTTATGCTCCTGAGCAGTAAACGCAATGTAAATCTAATTAAATATATGTAAAATATAAAGGAGTACTATGATAAGTCCTTATAAAAAATATGTAAAGAAAACAAAAATATATACAAAATATAAAAGGAATCTTTTGGTTAAGTAAACTAACAGCCCTTCTCTAAACAGTTTTTTTTAATCTTTTTTTTAAATTTTCTTTATTTTACAACAACTTTTGGAACATGTGAATTGGATTCTAAACAGTTTTTTTTTTTTTGGTGAATTTATAGTTGTATATACTAGCTGTGCTTAAAGCAAGGTACAATTATAATCTCCACTTCAAGAGAGATGGAATGTAGTCAACAGTGTATGACAGTGCTTTCTAGTTCAACAAACAGAACCAGTTACCAATAAAAATTCTTTTCAAGTTCCTAGATTCCTAACAGCAGCGGAGCGTATTCAGAAATACAAGAGGATGGGCCAGGCGCGGTGGCTCACGCCTGTAATCCTAGCACTCTGGGAGGCCGAGGCGGGAGGATTGCTCAAGGTCAGGAGTTCGAAACCAGCGTGAGCAAGAGCGAGACCCCGTCTCTACTATAAATAGAAAAAAAATTAATTGGCCAACTAATATATGTATAGAAAAAAATTAGCCAGGCATGGTGGCGCCTGCCTGTAGTCCCAGCTACTTGGGAGGCTGAGGCAGTAGGATTGCTTGAGCCCAGGAGTTTGAGGTTGCTGCTGTGAGCTAGGCTGACGCCACAGCACTCACTCTAGCCTGTGCAACAAAGCTAGACTCTGTTAAAAAAAAAAAAAAGAAAGAAATATAAGAGGATGAAGACAACGGAACCCCTATCTGGGCACACACAAGCAGTACGGTGACAAATGCAAAACGCCTTCCAGTTACTACTCACGAAAGAGAAGGGCCACGCTGCACATATCTGCTGTAGGACACTAGCGTGCCTAGGCCAGACTGCTCTCGGGCCGTGATGACCAGCAGGAACAAAGTGCAGATGGATGAGCCAGACTCAAGAAGGGGATAGGCAGAGCCAGAGAAAGCAGGAGAGGTACAAGTGGCCTGGCTAGGCAACGACAGAGGGGAATTCTCACCAGGGATCCCAAAAGCACTTTTGATGGACAGAGGGAGCACCCTATATTTACTAAAAGTTGCTGTTTGAGATCTCAACCTGCATCTTTCCATTTAGGGTTATGGGCACTGTCAGGCACACAGACATGGATAAACAGGAACACCTTGGTCCCGCTAGCCTGCCATGGTGCCCAGCACCGCTGTGCTGCGCATGGTGCTGCTCGAGGTGGTCCCCTGCTCTCCTATGGCTGCCGCCAGCAGTCACCCCTCCCTGGCCGGCCACCTTCTCCCTTGGTTGAATCAGGCTTGGTCACCAGTTCCCTAAGTCTTCAACCCTAGGTATACCACGTGCTAGCTGTGCGACCTTGGGTACATTCAGTTGCCTCATCTGAAGATGTTGGGAGCCTTAGATATCTATGAAGGGCCCAGGACAGTCCTTGCATTGGAGGCCAAAAGGCCCTTCCCTTTCCTCGCTTTGGAGGTTCCTCCCTCCCGAGATGAAGAACCCCAATGCCTGAGGCTGAGGACTCGTCTAAACACACAGCTGCATCTTCACTGTCTGTCCCACAGTACCTGTGAATATCTTTCTCTTCCCTTCAGGATCCAAGTAATTAATAGAGAAGAGAATGGCACCAAAGAAAATTATTCCTTTTTGATTTTTCCAATGCTCCCTGAATTGGAACATTTTTCTCCTGTGAGAAAAATCTCACAAAGAGCTTTGGTGTTCCCTTTGGAGAGGACAGTGAGTGCAAGGCGAGAATGCACATTCAGGGTCCCCAGCCTGGGGCCACTCATTAAACTCTCAAGGTGTGTCCAGGACAGTGCCGACACTTATCCAGCGACAGCGAGGTGGTGATGTGCTCTGAGCCAGGTTCAAGTCTAGCCTGGGCAAGAAAGTGAGACCCTGTCTTTAAAAACAAAACAACCAAAAATCCCAACAGTGGCTCTAAAAGATAGTTGTGGTGTGGCTAAAGAGAACTAAATAAAGCGCTTTTGCGAGAATCAGTCAGTATCTAAACATGTTGGTTGTTTCTGTAATTTTTTTTTCTTTTAACAGGAGTCTCACTTGTTGCTCCAGGCTAAGTGAGTGCCATGCGCAGCCGCTCACAGCAACCTCAAACTTCTGCTCAGTGATCCTACTTGCCTCACTTCCGAGTAGCCGTACTACAGCATGCGCCACCATGCCCGTATTTTTGTATATATACAATTTATTGTCATTAATTATTTCTATTTTGTATATGACGGTCTCGCTCAGGCTGTGCAACTCCTTGACCTCGAGGTAATCCGCCCGCTCGCCTCCCAAGAGTGCAGGATACAGCTACCACTACGCCGGGCCTGTATTTTTTAAAGCACGAATAGTTGGCCAGTTCACACTGATCCTCCACAGCACAAGACACAAATTTAAAAAAAAACAATTGAAAAAAGGACCACCGACAGAGTGGATACCCCATACTAACAAAATATAACAAAAATAGCAGGCATGGGCACATGCTGTACTCAGTACGAAACACAAGACACAGGACTGCTATTTTCTCTGCGGCTACAGTGAAACACCAAAAAAAACAAGGACCATAACAACACAAAACAAAATTTTCTACAGTACCATGTACAAAAGAACACCACAACAGTCTGGGGCTCTTGGAAGAGAATGAAACCAGGCATGCAGAGCTTCTGAGAGCCTGTGCTTCTCAGCACTGGAACACCGCCCTAGGCTGGCATCCAGTCACATGCGGAAGAGTGAGGAGGAGGCCTAACTCACGTGATTCAGCGAGGAAATGTGAGCCTGGCCTCCCAAATGCATTTTTTTTTCCCACAGAGATAGGA